CAGACCCACGCGCAGCGCGGACCCCCAGGTCTGTGCCGTTGACGATGCCGCCCTGCAGCGGCTCGGTGGGGCACGGCTGCAGGCAGGCAGGCAGGCGTCGGGAGCGGCAGCTGAGTGGTTGGGGCCAGAGGGCTGGAACGGCAGCGGCGCAGGGGCAATGATGCGCTGGATCCCGCGGCGCAGTCCTGAGCAGCGGCCTGCCAGGAAGGGTGCTGTGGATGCAGTCCATGCCGGCAGGCCGGCGGCAGGGCCACCCACCGTGGATTCAAACTCGAGCTGAGAGGCAAAGGCGGCGGGGGTGACAGTGAGGGTGCAGTCATCTGCCACGGTGGTTGTGAACTCCTGGAAGCAGACGGCGTAGGCCTCGTTGAGCACGGAGGCCCCCGTCAGCACCAGGGTGGCGGACTTGCCCTTGAAGGAGGAGTCACACCTGCAGGCGGCGGCGGCGGCGGCGGCGGCGGCGGCGGATGCGGCGCAAGGGGTCAGTGCTGCGCTGGGGTCGGCGGCGCGCCGATCGCCGCATTCAACAGTGGCAGCACCACAAATACCAGGGGGCAGCCCAGGCGTGGGTCATGGAGTGATGCGGCACATGTGCCTGCACAACTGGCTGGCAGGCCAACGGCTTCCGCTGGGTGGTGCGGCACTCACTCGAGGATCAGAGGCTCCTCTGCGGCGATGGGACGGGCCATGAAGAGGCCAAGCGCCAGCAGCTGCAGAGCCACCAGGCTGAGGCGTCCCTTCCTGCTGCCTGAGCAGGCAGCGGCGGTGTGGGAGGCCATGGTGGCAAAGCGGCGGCCGCGGAGGGCGTCTTGTACAGTTGGAGTGAATGAATTAAGCGGGAGAGACGGAGGTCTTGAGTACGAGAGGGGCACATGGAGGCTGAGCTGGCAGGGCGAATGACCGGACCTGAGTTCGAGAGATGAGTACGACGATGATAGCAGAGGCCCCGGGCTCCTACGAGGCTCTCAATTCACACACATAGGTTGATAATGGATTTTGGACATGCCAGGAAGGGCCCCGGCTGCGTAGACCCGAAGTCGTTATCCTGCGTTCCCCCAAACGCCTCCTGGGGACCCCTGTACGACTGGTAGCTGTGCTCACTGAAGAGTCTCCTTGCATCCCCCCACCCGGGGGCGCACTGAGGCACATCTTAGGTGGAG